CCCAAAGCCCCAGTAGATAGTTGTATGTCATAGCTGCACATCCTTCTAGTTGCTGTATGTGGGACGCGGCCTCAGCATGGCCGGACAAGCGGTGCGTCGGTGCGCACCCGGGATCTGAACCCGGGCCGCCAGCAGCAGAGCGCATGCACTTAACTGCCAAGCCACGGGCCGGCCCCATCTTCCTCCACTTTATATGGGACGCCACTACAGCATAGTTTGCCAAGCAGTGCGTCGGTGCGCGCCAGGGATCCAAACCGGCTAACCCCGGGCCGCCACAGCGGAGCGTGCGCACTTAACCGCTTGCGCCACCGGGCCGGCCCTATTCTAGTCTTTTATACTGCTTTATAGCAATATTAAAAAAGTGAGAAAACTGAAAACAATTTTCAAAAGCTTTAAAGTAACTAAATGAATATATCTTTACACCAGAATATGAACAATATGTAAAACAAAAGAGAAGGAAGGATGCTATGTTACTACCACTATCTGAATATAATTTAAAGAGTATTCCTTAAAAAGTTGCATGTAAATAAAACCCAGTTTTACATGAATTACAAATCCTCGAGATATTCTGGAAATAATCAGCCTCTAATTTTACCTATGTAAGTGACCTATTTAAAAAAAGGAGTAGTCCTTTTCCAACTCAGTCAAGTTTCAAGTACACAATTAATATTGCAGAACATATGACAAGACATTTCAAAATAATATTTAAAAATATGCTTATCTGGTTAAATTTTTCTTAATTAGATAAGCAAACTGAAAAAGTGCAATAGCAATGGACTAGACCTATCTGATATTACAGCATTTTATAAAATTCTGATAATTATAACAGACGGATCAATGGAACAGAATAGATGGTCCAGCAAGAGATCCTAAAACGTGGGAATTTAGTAGATGAAAAAGATGGCATTTCAAGTCAATGGGAGGAAAGAAGACTTTTTTTTGGTAAAAGTGGGTAGCCAACTGGAAAAGAATAAAGTTGGTTCCATTCTTCCTATCTTATACCAGTATAAATCCCAATTGGATGAAAAATTAAATGTAAACATGAAACCATAAAACTATTTAAAGAAATAAATAAGGAGAAATTTCTAAAAAGCATAATCTCTGAATAGGAAAGGTATTTCTAGGCATGACAAAAAAAAAACAAAACAATACAAAACAAAAACAAAAAGCCCCAAAATTATAAAATTTGACTGCATTAAAAAATTTGCATGACAAAAAGATGATAAGTGACATCAAAATACAAATGGCAAACTGAGAAACAAAAATTTTTGCGACTCATATCACAAAGGTCTAATTTCCCTAATATATAGTTTTCCTAAAGTAAGTAAGAAAATGGCTAACATCACAATAAAAAGGGTAAAAGACATTAATTAATAGATAATACACAGAAAAGGAGACATGTAGTGCTCTTAAGAATATGAAAACATGCTCCTCTTCATTCATAAAGAAAGAATGAAAATTAAAATATCACTAGTACATTTTTTCATCTATCAGATGTGCAAAGATCAAAAATTTGAATAACACAGTGGGTTAAAAAGAGAGTAACAGCCTCTCTCATATGCTGCTAATGGGAGTTTGAATTGATTTAACCTATATAGAAGGCAGTTGGTTAGAGCTAATTAAATTTTTCAAAATAGATTTACATAACTATAATTGACACATAATAAACTGCATATTTAAAGTGTATAATTTGATGAGTTCTGACGTTAAGTACACATCCACAAAACCATTATCACAATGAAGAGAAGGAACATATCCATCACTCCCAAAATATTCCTGGTAATCCATCTCATTCCTCCCCACACTGTTCCCGGGGAACCCTTACTTATGAATAAGTTCCCCTTACTTATGGGGACTATGTTCCAAGACCCCCAGTGGATGCCTGAAACCACAGATAGTAACAAACCCTATACATACGTTTTTTCCTACACATACATATTTGAGGTGCAACAGCAAACCTAGCACAAATTTCTTTTTCCTTCTTCACAATTTCATGGATAGAAGATTCATTCTTACCGCAGATCTCAGCAACTTCAGCAAACAATTTTTGTCTTTTCTTATTAAGTCGAGGACTTTCACCTTTTCACTTAAAGGAAGCACTTTACGGCTTCTCTTTAGAATATTTGTATTACCGGCATCACTATTCTTGTGCTTTGGGGCATTTATTAAGTAAAATAAGGGTTACTTGAACACAAGCACTGTGGTGCCAAGGCAGTCAATCTGATAACTGAGACAGCTACTAAGTGACTAATGGGGGATAGTGCATACAGTGTGCATTCCCTGGACAAACGGATGATTCACGTCCTGGACAGGACAGAGCTGGATGGCTCGAGATTTCATCACCGTACTAAGAACAGTGCACAATTTAAAACTTAAGAATTGTTTCTTTCTGGGATTTTCCATTTAATATTTTTGGACCAAGTTTGAATGTAAGTAACTGAGACCGTGGAAAGTGAAACTGAGGATAAGGGGGGACTACTTGATTTGCTTTTGGTAACTTTAGGTTGGTTTGCATATGTTCTGTATCTATGGAATCATACAGTTTCTATTCTTCTTTGTTTGAGTTCTTTTACTCAGCATAATTGTCCTGACATTCATCCGTGTTGTTGCATGTATCAGTAGTTAATTCCTTTTTATTCCTGAGTAGTATTCCATCATATGGCTATATCACATATTGTTTCTTTTTTTTTTTTTTTAAGATTTTATTTATTTTATTTTTCCCCCCAAAGCCCCAGTGGGTAGTTGTGTGTCTTAGCTGCACATCCTTCTAGTTGCTGTATGTGGGACTCGGCCTCAGGATGAACGGAGAAGTGGTGCCTCGATGCGCACCCGGGATCCGAACCCGGGCCACCAGCATCGCAGTGCGCGCACTTAACCACCAAGCCACAGGGCCGGCCCTGCACATATTGTTTCTTCATCCGTCTCCTGTAAACATTTACCTTCATTTCATTTGGCTGAGTCAAATGGTAGATGTATGTTTAACTTTTTAAGAAACTGGCCAAGAGTTTTCTAAAATGGTTGTACCATTTTATACTCCCGTCAGCAGTGCGTGAGAGTTACAGTTGCTTCACATCCTCTTTACATCTAGTACAGTCAGTCCCTTTTAGGGCATTCTAGTGGGTTTGTAGAGTTATCTCACTGTGGTTCCAATTTGCATTTCTTTATGTGACTGATGATGTTGAGCATCTTTTCATATACTTGTTTGCCATCTGTGTATCTTTGGTGAAGTGTCTCTTCAAATTTTCTGCTCATTATTTTATTGAGTTGTTTTCTTATTATTGAATTGTAAGATTTCTTTATATATTTTAGATAAGTCTTTGTCAGATATGTTTTGCAAATATTTTCTCCCAGTCTGTGGTCTGTCCTTTCATTTTCTTAACAGTGTCTTCTGAAGAGCAAAAGTTTTTGATATGAATGAAGTTCAATTCACTGAGTATTTTTCTATAGTTTGTTTTTTTAATTTAAGAAATCTTTGTCCAACCCTAATTCCTTAAGATTGTCTCCTATGTTTTCTTCCAGATAGTCTAGTCTCAGTTGTTACACTCAAATCCATAATCCAGTCAGTCTTTGTATAGGTGTGAGCTAAGAGGAGAGGTTCATTTTCTTTTCTTTCTTTCTGTCTTCTTTTTTTGGTATATGGCTATCCAATTGTTCCAGACCATTTGTTGAAAAGATCATCCTTTCCCTACTGAATTACTGTGGCACCTTTGTAGAAAATCAGTTGACCCTATATGTGTGGATATATTTCTAGATTCTCTACTCTGATTCAATGGTTATATGTTCCAATGGTGTTCCAAGGGTATATATGTCCATTTTACACCAATTCCACACTCTCCTAATTACTGTACTCTTATTAATAAGGCTTGAAATCAGATAGTGTAAGGCCTCCAACCTTTTCCTCCTTGTCAAAGTTGTTTTGGCTAACCAAGATTCTTTATATTTACATAAAAAATTTAGAATCAGTATGTAAATTTCCAAAAAAAAAAAGAAACCTGCCAGGACTTGATTTGGATTGAATGTAATCTATAGATCAATTTGAGGAGAATCAATATCTTAACAATACCGAATTGTTCAATCCAAGAACATTTACTTAGGTCTTCTTCAATTGCAATTTTCTCAGCAATGTTTTATAACTTTCAGTGTACAGGTCTTGCATATATTTTGTCACATTTGATTCTATGTATCTCATATTTTCTATTTTATTATAAGTGGTATTGTTTTTTAAATTTCAATTTCTT